TAGACTGATATCCTATCGAAGCCTTTTCTGTTATGCTTACTGATAAAAGAATATGATTATGGGGAATCCTAAAAGACAGATTATATCTTCTGCCATTCAGGTTTGGCTTTAAAGTCCTAAAATCAAGAAATCAATAACAAACAACTCAATTCAGTCGTCAAACCAAACCATAATTTATACTAAAAAAAGTTTTGAGTTTCCAAACTAAGATCAATTTGGCACATCACAGCTACCCATAAAATACTCATGAACAAGCAGGAGCACCAAGTGTGTTGACTCCTTCCTGCCTCCTCCTGCAGAAATTATTATTATTATTATTACAGTGGTACCTCGGCTCATGAATGCCTCAGTTCACGCCCAAATCGGGTCATGAACAAAAATTTCATAAAAATTTTGACACAGGTCACAAACTCCGCATTGGGTGGTGACCGTGAGTGCTGCCATCTCCCCACCCCACCCCCCGACTGCAGAGATGGCTGCGATCGTGCTGGGGGTGGGGGGAGATAGCAGAGATTGCGCCTGTCTTTCCTGCACGACCGCGCCCATGATTGCGCCCATCTTTCCTTTATGAGTGCAACCGCGATCTCAGCCATCTCCCCCCACCCCAGAGTGCCCGCATTTGTGCCCGTCTCTTCCCCCCAGCGCGCTGGGATGACAAGCACATGCAGGGATGATGGGTGTGATCGCGGTCATGCTGGCGGGGCGCGGAGATGGCTGCACTCGTGCTCAGGGTGAGGGAGGGGAGATGGCCGCGATCTTTGTTCTTTGTCACTTTGCTTCACATTTTTTCTGATTAAAAAAAATAGTTACAGAACGGATTAACCTTATTTACATTGTACCTTATGGGGAAATTTGACCTGGGTCACGACCAGAGTCCTGGAACGGATTAAGTTGGTGAGCCAAGGTACCACTGTATTATTATTATTACATTTCTAAACTGCCTGTACCAAAGCTCTCTGAGCAGTTCACAACATTTAAGTCACCCATCCATATTTCAACCAGGCCTGACCCTGTTTAGCTTCCAGCATTAGGCAAGATCAAGCACATTAAGCTATATGGAAGCTGTAAATATACTTAGGATAATGTGGAACCCATAACTGTAGGTTCTTGTGACAGGACATAAGACAATCCAGGGTTAGAACTGGATTGGATTGTTTATCTCCCCATAAAAAACAAACTCCTGAATTGTTTGTTCTACCTAACAATACAACAAACCTAATTGTTTATACTTGCTTGCCTGCTTTTATTTTCTGTTTGCTCATTACTTTAGCTGCAGTGACTTCTACAGTGCAGTAACATCCATAAACCTGAACTGTCAAATCAGATATCACAACAAATTGTAGCTTTACCACAATTCAAGGTTCATAATGCTAGATTGCTGATTAATCATGATCCACAGTTGGTATCACACCTGACCAAGCCATTGCTAATCTTCCTGTGCTAAGGTTAAAAAATGGGAAAGTGCACTGTAAGATATCTGGTGATTAAATAGCACAGCAAATAAGAACGGCAAATATTTTTCATACAGATAGTACCCAAGAGAGTCCTAAAATAACTTTGTATATATATATATATTTGCATAGATTGAGCATGCAACCTCATGGAATTACGCCAGAATGAATGCAAACTGTGAAACTGGAGACTTCCGGTTATCCTTTGCCCTGACAGGCTTCGGTCAGCTGAGTGGGAGGAGCAACCAAGGCTTGAACCTCTGAGCCCATCTAGCCAATTTCTGCTGCCAAGAACAGGAACAGGCCTTGAGGAACTAATACAGTCATCAGATCCATGGTCTCTCCCCACCTGCCCACCAGCACATCACCAGCTCCACCCACCCCACTTTTCCTTCCTGAGTTCAGAGTTGTATGAAATCCCTGCTCAGTTTTCCCTCTCCATAGCTCTGTTTACAGCCTAGGAGAGGAAACCCCCAGCTTCCTATGGCCCCTCAGATGCCATAATATTAAACAAAAATCATGCTTGATGCACTGAACTGCCATATAAATAATTGAATGCCCTAACAGAAATATAAAAACAGTGTGCTAGAGCTAAATAGTACTTCTTAAATGAAGGATGGAAGTATAGAATTTCAGAATTGAGACCACAGATTTTTTAAAGTATAATATATGCTCCTCCTCTTGGATGCACACCTTAACAAGGTGAGGGGATCTGAGAGTATCAGAGAAGCCAACTGAAATGTCACTTGAAGACTAGACTCTCTGACGAGGCTGGTCTCCTAGCAGGGTCACCCAAGATGGAATGATTAACAATCAGCCCCCAGAGTAAGAAGCAGCCACCCACTTCTGCAGTAATTGCTGTATCAGCAGAAGTGAGAGTGCCAGAAGATGAACTCCCAGGTGTGAAGACTCTCAACCAGTTATTGAGGAAGAACAAGCAAAGGACAAGGACAAGTAAGAAGTCTAATGGCTGACACGCACAGAAACGAAAGTCCAGTGCTACACAACACATCAAACTGGAGGCAAACTGGAAACAGTAAAGAAAGAAAAGAAATTGTTAACTTCTTGTTATTTGGTGTGTTAAGCAAGATGTAGCACAGGAAGTTAAGGGGCTATAATGCAAAGTCTGACCAAAACATATCAGATTTGCTGGAAAACCTATCAACATAACCATGATTCAAGTCAATGCTCCAACAACAGATACTGAAGAAGAAATTTAAAACTTTTATGCAGGAGACCAAGATGAAATAAATAGCACACTAAAACAAGACACAATGTCAATCACAGGTGAATGGAATACAAAACAGAAATCCAGTGCTGTGGGAAAATTTGGCCTATGGGTTAAAAATGAAGCAGGAAAATAACTCTCAGAATTCTGTGAAGCCAGCCATCTGTTTACTGCAAATACATACTTCAGGCAACTGATTAGACAACTGTACACATGGACATCACCAGATGGCCATACAGAAATCTAATAGACTATATGCCAAAACAAGACCAGGAGCAGATTGTAGTAGTGGCCATTAACTTTCAGTATCAAAAAAACATTGTAAAGCCAAAAAAGCTCGCTAACAGAAGCACAGTGCTTCTTACAATTTAAATAACATTCCTGAGGAATTTAAAGTCCACAGAAAATTTTGCATTACTGAATTCAATTGACCATGAACCAGAAGAAGTGTAGAATGAAATCAGAGACATTAAGGAAGAATGCAAAAAGACAATTCCTCTAGCAAAAAGCAAGAGAAACCCTAGATGGATAACAGAAGAAACACAGTAGCTAAGGTCAGGTAAGAAGCAAAAAAGTAATAGAAATAGGTTCAGAATTCTGAATGCAACTTTTCATCAACTGTCACACAGAGGCAAAAAGAACTATTTCACTTACCAGTGTAAAGAAATAGGGAATCACGAATGAGGAAAAATAAGACTTCTAGAAGATCCAAGAAAGCAATGTCATCTGACAGAACTTTACTGTCAACGATGGAGAAACTGAAATGATGAAATATTTTGCATACCTTGGTCATCAATTTAAAGGGAGAATGCAGCCAAGAAATTTGAAAACAACTGAGACTTGGAAGGTCAGCCATGAAGGAACTAAACATATGATCAAGTATAAGGACATTTCACTGGAGACAAAGGCCAAGATCATCCACATAATTGTATTCTCAATCACTTTGTATGTGTGCATGAAGGCTGGGCAGTAAAGAAAGCTGACTAGAAGAAAACTGATACATTTGAAATACAGTACTGGGAGAATACAGGCCCAACAGAAAGATGAAGAACTTTCTGGAACTTTCTCAGGAAATGATGATGATGAAACTGAGGTTGTCATACTTCAGACACATCATGAAATGCAATTCTCACTGGAGAAGCCAATAATACTAGGGAAAGTTGAAGGCAGAAGATGAAGACCAGCTATGTGATGGATCAATTCCAAAAAGTAAGCCATAGCCTTGAATTTACAAAAGCTGAAGTCTGTCAAAGACAGGACATTTGGAGGGTATTCAAGTCAAAGATGTAATGTATGTTGAGCATGTTTAAAATATGGGGATTGTCAACCTATCATGGCTCTTGACAGAAGATTTCCAAGATGACTTCTTTCAAATACGTATTTTCACATTCTCATGTATTTCTGTCTCCTTCTTGTCCACTATTGCCTCCACTGTGCCCAAAATTTGATTGAAATCTAGTTGAAAGCAGGGACTTAGTTTTAATACTTCCTAATGCCATGTTTGTTAACAGCGATGTAACACTAATGATGCAGCTGATGCAGACAACAAGCAACGTACTATGGTGTCGCTCATGTTCACTTTCCTATGCTTGCACCTGTTCCTAGGCCAGAAAACCTTCGAGGGTGACATGACATTGCTGTACATTGCCGGGTAGCAGTGTCCGGAATAGAGGCATTTTGTCGAGGCGATACTCAAGCCAGCAAGTCCGTGTCCTCCACGGGCTGCGACATCTGCAGAAAGTCCCCCCCCCCCACGAAGTTCCACTGAATTATTCCGAGGTCAATTTTTAACAAGAAAGCTGCTAAACGCCTCCTGCCGTGCTCCCTCCCTAGGTTCCTGCTTTATGGCCATTCTGCCCTACGATTCTGTTCCCCTTGCTGGGGCCGCCTCCGCCTGTCTTGGGCAGATGTCCTTTCTGTTCCTTTCCACAACCCCAACGTCCCTGTCAGAAAACTAGGCGCAATCCCTCGCCGTCTCTTTTCCACCCCGAGAAGCGCCCACCGAGCGAGCAGGGCCCTTTAAAACATGAATGCGCTCGCTCCACGCTAGCTTGCACGCTTTGCGCAGCAACCGCGGGCGGACACAAGCCAGGCTATGTCCGACCTACATCACCGACGCCTCTTCCGTCGAGCATGCGCATTACCCTTCAATTTGGAGGCGGGCACAGCTAAGCTTCTTACAGTCCCGCCCCTCGACTCTCTTCCCCCCCCACTACACCACCGCAACTTCAATGCATGCGCGCGCGTGCCCGCGCAATAGGGCGATCGCGCGCGCGCGAGGGCGAGCGAGCGAGCGAGCGGGGCTATTCCGACGCCAGACAGCAGCAGGGCAGGGCGTGTTATAGCGGTTTGCACAGCGGTTCCTTATTGCCAAGCGGGCGGAGGAGAGGGGAGCGGAGCGGAGCGTGAACCCAGCCTGTCACTTACGTCCGCTGCAAGGACGCAGAGGGGAAGGCAAGGGAAGGGTCTCTCTGCTCAGCTGCGGCGCTGGCAGCAGAAGCAGCGGGGGCAACCCGAACGAAAAGGGAGGAGAGAAAGCGCCGAGCGCCTGTTTCTGCATAGCCTGCCCGGTCCATGGAGCCCAGCTGAGGCAACGCCAGGCGAAGAGACCGAGGTAAAAATCCCCCTGAGCGGAAACAGATGGAGGAAGCTCCATAGGCAGAGGAGAGGACGGAGAGACGCTGCAGCCAGCCAGCCAGCCAGCCAGCCGCCTCCCTCCCCCCGCGTCGCCCTGCCTTGGGAGGAGGGCTCGGGAGCTGAAGGTTAAGCGAGGGAGGGGGCGGGCGCGGGCTTGCCTGGTGGGGGGCGAAGGGGGAGGGGCGGGAGTTGGCGGCTGAACCGGGCAAGCCCTGCAGCCAGCGCGGCGGTGAGGCGTGCTGCCGAGCCGGGTGACAGGTTGCTTGAGCCCCGGGAGGAGCGAGCAGTCCAGCTACCGGGGCGAAGGTGCCTGTCCCCGGCGCTCCGAGAGGATGCGTTGCAGGCAGTCGGCTGTTTTTAATGTGCGGCAAATGAGGAAGGCGGCGTGATCTGGGATGGAGGGGTTGAAGGTGTTGTAATGATAAGGCAGAGCCCGGGGGGGGGGGGGGTGAAAGGCCTTTTCACGGTAGTTTAGGGTTAATTTCCATCCACTTTGGTCCATGAGGAGGAGACTGAGGTTGTCGCGAAGCATCCATTTTGCTATCTGATGGGTTTGACTGCACGGAAGGAATTGATTCCTACTTTAAAGGGATGCTTTAGAAAGGCTGTGGCTGCTCTCTTAAGTCCCCACTTGGCAGGGTTTGCGGTTCTATTTTTGCCAATTCATTGAAGGGAGAGGCAGGGAGCTGATCCCAGCAGTGTCTTCAACTGACAGCATCTGCTTCTTTGTGACTTTACGTAGCAGTCCCAAATTGGACCTGCACTATGCCTTCGCTCTGGGCCATAAGAGAATCATTCTTGTATTCTGGAAACCAGTATAATGTGAGAAAAGATGAAAGAATCTAAGAATCTAACCACATATACCAAGGACTGTGCGGCATTTATGGGAATAATCTTCCAATGTATGGTGCTGACATTTCATATATTCTGTGGCCTTCCTACTTGGGTGGAAAAGTTGAATTAGCAGATTTGTGCTTGGGTGTGTTTCCCCACCCCGATTTCTCCCATAAAAGACTGGCTATTGTTTCACTGAGCACTGAAGGAGGTCTGTATGTTTAGTGAAATGAAATCTCATTGCATTTGCTGTGCAGAGTTAGAAATGTTGCCAAGCAGCTGCTGCTTTGTGTTTCAATTGCTGTGGTCCCAGGAGTAGGTTTCGGACAGGGAGTGACATGGTGTGTAAATGATGAAGGAAGAGGGGTACTAGGGTCAAGTGCAGATTTATGGGTGCGTTGATCTCTCCCTGTTAAACTTCTCAAAGCAATGGAAGGTAGCGATAGATCATAGGTTTGGGGATTTCAGGAAATATGCAACCGTTTTAAAAATTATAAGTAATATTTCAATGGCAAACTCTTTCAGTGTTAAGCAATTTTGCAAGCAACGGTTCAATTGGTTTGGAATACTGCCTAATTCAAAGCAATGTGGCTATAATGAGATTCAACATGGATGATTTAAAAAGTATTTGTAATCACTGCTGAACAATATCTTATGTGAAACCCTTTAAAATACTTAAAAGATTTTAAAAGTTAAGGTTACTTAGGAGAAAAATAATTGCTCTGCTTCTCTTTCATCCTTGGTGCATTTGCTGGTTTTAGAGAAGGTAATTGTAGATTTGTGGGGGTTTTTAAATTTCTGGCTTTGAAGGTGCATTATCATCTTGATTATAAGAAGATGTGTAAACATTTCAGTGAAGATTTTACATCAGCAAAAGTGCTACCTGGCATAATATACATTGTGGGGGAAAAACACTTGCATCTAATCACATCTTTGGTCAAGTCTTTAATTTTTGAGCTATACCTTACTCAGTTTTGCTGCTGTTTTACATTGCTTGGTGTATAAATGCAAATAAATACTATTTTTAAAAGAACATATTTTGATATATTCTTCAAATAAACTTGTAGCTTTCTCTCCCTTTTCAATGTGATCTTTCTTGTGAAATGGTTTAAAATAAGGATGCCACATGCTGATTAATTGTATGTTCCTATTTTTAGTAGATTGTGCTGACCCTTTTCTTTCCAAAAATATGTTTGGCTTATTTCTTTGTGTTTTGGTCCAATATATATTCACATAAGGAAAGGAGTTCTCTCTCTTTTAATAAAATGAAATGGTGGTTCAGAACAGGGGAGGAATTTAGTGAGCCAGATAAAATCCAGACATTATGTTCCACCATATTTGTGGTGGAATCTGCTAGAGGAAAAGCCACCTTCTTAAGCAGCATTCATTAGCTCTAATATCTTTGACGCTGAGTATCACATCAATTTTATAGTACTTGTCAGTGATAGAGATCTCCACTAGGGGCCTCACGGAGACAGCCAAACCCACATGTTGTAGCTAGTTTCTTCTTTTTTTAAAATAAATATAAAGGAAACAACCTTCGCTAAGTAACAAAAGGTGAGGCCTCAGTCTTTCATAAATAGTGGAAGTTCTGCTTTGGAAATCTAAGGTGGTTTCACTATCCCAAAAACTATTTATTGGGTGGCACAGGGAGAAGGTAGAGTGGGCTTTGGACTAATTAATATCTAGAATATGAGGAGGATTTTACAAATGCTTTGAAACAGTAGATTTCTAACTTTTGCAGAAGGTTCTTCAAATAGAAATGAAATATAAATTTTGTTAATATGTTGCCATCCATTAAAATTTCCTATTTATATTTTGCTGCAAAATTAGTTAGATGCAGCAGTATCAAAATTATCCTTAGACAAGCTTTAAATGCAATAATAAACCGGCTGACCTCATTGTGGTGGCATGTGGAGATTTTGGACTACAACACCTGCACATCCCTGTCTGTTGGCCATACTGACAGAAATTGACATTCAGAACATCTGGACAATACCAGTTTGGAGAAGCCTGTGCTAAGTCACAGTAAACCTCTGGGGATGTTTGCATATAGTGGTTGCTATATGATGTCCAAGTCATGGTAGCAGAAGTTAAACATGGGTTAAGTGAGGCACAATTAATTATTCATTGTAGGTTATTACCTATTCATTGTAGGTTAACTGTGGGTTATTTAACCCACAATTAACTTATAGTGCCAAGATTTGGACAATATGTAGCAACAATATTCAATGGTCATGGAATGGCTTGTACCATGAACATCTATGCATTAATTAAGCATGTTTTGCTACCATTGCATGTGAACTGGGTCCCTGACTCTCCTAATCTCCTTTTTTCCTTTCCAGCTTGTGGCCCATCTACCTCAGATAGCATGGCCAATGGTCATTTGATGGCATACAGAATTTAAAGCTACAAGTTGGAAAAGACTGGTGTTCTAACTTGCATTTTTTAATAAACTCAGCTCAGAAAAATTGTGGTTTTATTCTAACAATGTTTAGTTCAAATGAACCAGGCTCAAACCATAATGAAAATAAACCACAGTTCCTTAAAAACTCAAAGTGAATGTTTCCAGTTTGCTTCAATCATGTGCAAAGTATTAGAGGGTGTCTGTGTGCTTTAGAGTTGTTTCAGTATGTACTTTTATGGTTTAATATGTCAAACTAGGCATTCAAGATAAGTCAAAGCAATGGCATTCAGATAGTGCTTTCTTTTTTAAAACAAGGGGCAGATTTAGGTAAAGTTATGCCCACTCCCCCTTCCCCCGGAGAAAACCCGTAATAGCAGACCAGACTTCCAGTAGCTATGTTGTTGATGTCATTAGAAATGGCTGGGTATTTATCTTAGATTAAAGAGCTAAGGATAGTAGGTTGCAATTCTTCAAGAAAATAAAATGACCCCTAATCAGGCCCAGCTGTCCAGCTTTTGTTACATGACATGAGAGTTTCTTTATTTCAAATGCTTCTAGGTTGCAAAGTTGAAATTATATGTGAGGAGTTTTATGTGACAAATAATTTAACCTCAATTACTTTTGCATAAATCATGTAAGTGACTGTCAGGAGCAGCTATATCGTGCTATTGATGTATGCGGCTTTAAAGTGAATAGACATCCATGGCAGAAATTCACACTAATTATTTCAAACTAATATGTGAGCTCCATATAATGGACAGTATCCAGTGGTACACGAGCACCAATGTAAATTACACTGTGCTATTGTAAAGGACCTCTAGTGCAATACCAGTGATGCTGGGTACATATTCCCCAGAAATCTGTCATGCCAGTTAATGCTATTGGCTTTGTGCCAGAGAACTCTTACAGTAACTAAATGCGAAGTACATTAGTGCTAGTGTCCAGGTTGATAACAGCTGATTGATTTATCTTCTACAGCTCCTGGCCATCTACCTACAAGCTCCCACTTTGCCTCCCTTTCTCACAGCACAGCTCATGATTAGTCAAAATTCACATATGTGAATTTATGTAGGAATGCAGCCATGGACTCTTCTTGCTCATGCCCTCAGTGGTCTAATCTAGACCCTACTCCAGACCTCCTTTTCTGCCCACCCGGCTGCCCTGGACTGGTTATCTTAACACACGTGCCTGTTTCTTCCTGTTACACCATTCTGTTATAGGAGCAGCTTGGCCCATGGTAGCCACAGAAGTCTCATCTGGTTGTTGCCAAAAGTTTCAGTTCTGCTACTGCAACCACACAATATCTTCATTACTATACAGATATAGGCAAATGGTTCTTCCCCTCACTTTTAAAAAAAACCCCTTAAAAGCAGTACTGATCTTGCAGAAATATCATGAGAGATGACAGGAAAGAGGTCCATCCTACTGCAGAAAGGCATTAATTCTCAGGCAAGGCTGTGCCATTGGGATTCCCAATCCATTGCAGCTATTAGCCTGAGCTTTTATGGGAGATATCCATGGTAGCAAATCTGTTTTGTGAATACAATTCAGCACTATGGATAACTCCTAAAAAGCTCCATCTGGAAGGCTACAATGGATAAGGAGCCTACTGATACAGGAGTCAGCAACCTCCACTGTTAATTCCCATTATCCTCTAGTGGCAGCCTTTCTCTGAACAAGGATCAACAGGGAAAAAGGAAGGGCTTGCATTGTGTCTTGAGAGTTATGTGTAATGG